CTCAGAGCCCTGGCGGATGAGGACATAAACATTAAATAAAACACTACAGAAACAAACTTTGTGCTACACATTGTGATAAACACAGGGAGTAATGAGGGAGATTAAGGCAATGGGGTGGTCCTACCTTCTGTGGGGCATCATAGAAGGCTTCTCTGAAAAGGTGGCTTTACATCCAGATGTAGCTCAGTGAAATACAGAAGAAAGAGCACTCTGGAGCGAGGGGACAGCATGTGCAAGGGTCCTGAGGCAGTAGAGAGTCTGTCCTGCTTGAAGATCAAAGGCAGGCAGCATCTTGGGGGAGTGAGTGAAGGGAAGGACACAGGTGAGATTGAAGGCAGCAGGGTTCTCACCATGTATTACTTTGAAAGCCACAGAGAGCAGAGTGCTCTTACCCTGAGGGCTGTGGGAAGCCTTGGAGGGTTTTGAGCTGGGGGTGATGATATGATGGCCATTTTTCAAAGATCCACCTTTGGGCCGGCATCCTTGGTGCCTCGGTTCGTTGCTTCAACCCTGGTGCCTGGAAACAGGGCCCCGCATATAGAATGAAGTATTATAACCTGGAGTCTACAACCCACCTCCACGCTGGGCAACCTTGGTGTACCGTTACCATAAAGCTAAGTGGCTGTAACCAAGAGGTCCAAAATCCCATGAATTAAAGAAGACAGAAGGGTCTGAGGTGAGCAGTCCTGGCGGGTGGGTTAGCCCCTGGGTGTTGTCCTGCTTTCCATGGTTGAAACTGAGTTGTGGCCCATCTATCGGCCAGGTCACGGGGAGAAGGGGCAAGAGACCAAGTCCAGGAAGAGCCATTAGCAAACAAGGGAGACGAGCATTACTGCCAGCACTTTGCTCTTTCTCCACGGGGAACTTGGCCTAGATAGGGCCACACCTAATTTCAGGAGGGAGGTATTGGGGGAGCGCTGGGGTCATGTGGCTGTGCTCCAGTCCTCTTTCATGGAAGATGGGAAGGCTGGACTGTGCCTGCCGGCCTTAGCTTCCTCATCTGTAGAATGGGTAGAATGGAACGTCCCTAAATGAATTGAGAAATACGTTGTTTCTAAGCAATGATTTGATGGTGTCCTGCAGCTTAGAAAACAAAGCATTCCCCTGTTGTTGTGACTTAATTCATCTGTAGATGTAAAGACCTCACTCTGTGTCCCTATGAGGTGCACACCGCGACAGTCCTCATTTCAGAGATGTGCAAACCGAGGCTCAGCGATGAGGGCCCGTGAGGTCCCGGTGCCCACCTGACTCTCTCCTGCCACCCCCAGAGCTGTCCTGGTTCCAGACGGTTGGGGAGTCGGCGCTGGGCGTGGAGTCTTTCTCCTACCAGGGTGAGCCCCACATCGTCCTGGCGCAGCCCTTTGCGGGCCGCTGCCTGATCCTCACCTGGGACTACAGCCTGCAGCGCTTCCGGCCTGAGGAAGAGCTGTCCGGTGAGCCTGCCCCCTCCCACCCCTCTCCAACCTTCTGCCTGCAGGGGTGGGGGGGCCCTACCAGGCAGGCCTAACCTGCCCTCCCACACCCCGCCCCCCCACAGCGCCCTCGGTGGTGTCCTGCAAGCCGCTTGTGCTGGGCCTGCGCCTCTTCGTGCTGGCCGCCCGCCTGTGGGGGGGCTCGCAGCTGTGGGCCCGGCCCAGCCCGGGCCTGCGCCTCGCCCCCACGCAGGCCCTGGCCCCGAGGCGCCTGCTGCGGCCCAACGACGCCGAGCTCCTGTGGCTGGACGGGCAGCCCTGCTTCGTGGTGGCCGACGCCTCCAAGGCGGGCAGCACCACGCTGCTGTGCCAGGACGGGCCCGGCTTCTACCCCCGCCAGAGCCTGCACGCCTGGCACCGGGACACAGACGCCGAGGCCCTGGAGCTGGACGGCCGGCCCCATCTGCTGCTGGCCTCCGCCTCCCAGCGACCCGTGCTCTTCCAGTGGCTCAGTGGCCGCTTCGAGAGGCGCACGGACATCCCCGAGGCCGAGGACGTCTATGCCACACGCCATTTCCAGGCCGGGGGCGATGTGTTCCTGTGCCTGACACGCTACATCGGGGACTCCATGGTGAGGCTGGGCCCAGTCAGGTGGAGCAGGTGGCCACAAGCCAGATCTGACCTGCAGTGGCCTCCCGCCTCGGGGCTGGCTTTGCAGTGCTGACTCCCACCTTGCACAGGAGCTTCTAAACTCTGACCTGACCTCACAGCCTCACCTGTGAACTCTGACCCCACCTGATGTACTGATCTTTGAACTCTGGCCACCCCCTCCCCATACCCCCCCACACCGACTCTAAGACCACGGTGACTCCTCAAGGCTGAATGACCATAAGCCACTTCATATCCCCCCAACACTGACACTGCCCCCCCCCACTCCGAGCCTTACATTTGAGCACAGCCACCACATTCTGGACCCCCGAGGCTGACGGCCCACCCCCTCCAGCATTCTCATTCTGGGTTGAGGAACAGCCAAGCAGGCGCTCTGGGCCTAGAAGGCAATGGTCTGACTCAGGCGTTCACGGGATATGTGTGTGGGGAGCAGACTGTGAGTGCAGGGATGAGAGTGGGGAGCCTAGGGCAGAGCCTGCCATCATGGAGGGAGGTGACTGTGGCTGGGCAGAGTGCGGCCAGAGGAGATGGGAGAAATAGATACCATCATAGGTAAAACGGACTGATTCTTTGTGGGGTGTGAGGGAGAGAGAGTGGCCAAGAATGACTTCAAGTCTGTGGCCTGGGCAACGGGGTGGTGACAGGTATGAAGGTAGGAAAGCTGTGGGAGTTTGAGGACCTATGGGCCTGACTCCAAGCTGTTCCGGGTGGTCTGAAACCCAGGGTGCTACTGGCAGGCCTGGCACTCTTGGACCGCCAGCCCTAACTGGTCACCACACTTCACAGGTCATGCGCTGGGATGGCTCCATGTTCCGCCTCCTGCAGCAACTTCCCTCACGTGGTGCCCACGTCTTCCAGCCACTGCTCATCGCCAGGGACCAGCTGGCCATCCTGGGCAGCGACTTTGCTTTCAGCCAGGTCTTTCGCCTTGAGCCTGACAAGGGGCTCCTGGAACCTCTACAGGAGCTGGGGCCCCCAGCCTTGGTGGCCCCTCGTGCCTTTGCTCACATCACCATAGCCGGCAGACGCTTCCTCTTTGCCGCTTGCTTCAAAGGCCCCACACAGATCTACCAGCATCACGAGTTAGACCTCAGTGCCTGAGACCCCACGGGACCTTGGCCATGGCTGGGAGAGAAGGGGGCGCTGACTGGCACAGGGAGTCCCAGGCCTCTGGATACCCACTTGACCAGGAGCCTGGGAGAGATGATGGGTCAGCTTGTGAGAGCAGATGGAGTTTCTCCCCAAGACACTGGCCTCCTGGCCCTACTTGGGCTGATGCTACCTGTGAGGTCCTGACCAGAGGCCAAATTCAAGGCAAGAGCTGTCCTTTCAGTCTTTAAGCAACATCTCAGCTGGAGGCACATGCCCCCACTAGAGATGACTTGGGAGCTCAGGCTGGGGCGCTGCAAGAAGCCAGGATACAAAAGTCATGGTGGGGATAACGTGCAGAACTCCGTGCGATCTGGAAGTGCTCCCCCTCAACCCACTCCCACCGTTCCTGCTCCCTGAGAAAGTACTGAGGAAGAGACAGCTTTCCTTTCCCTCTAAACTCAATCCGGCCAATCGCTTTGGTGCCCGCCTCCGTGACGTCATCAGTCGCTGGGCCCGTTTCCCAGCCGGGCTTGCTAACTTCCTCTGCTGCTTGTGCGCATGCCTGCTGCCCGGGCGGAAGCCCAGCATGTTGGCCCTCTTGCGCATGCGCGGGAAATAGGTGGGAAAGTGGGAAATAGGTAGGAAAGCAGGAGCTGTTGTGGGGAGCCCGGCTGCACGTATCTGATGAGGGACTGGGGAGAGGAGAGAAAGTGTATGAGCTCAATAAACGCGCTGTGCAGCTGCCCCGCTCGTTGTTGTGGGATCTTTGGGAGAGAATAACAAGGGGGAGGAATGATGTCCCAGGAGCAGTATTGGGGTGGGGGTTGCCCCAGGGGTGCATTTTGGCTGCCCTGGTGCGCTCTCGCTTGCCCGATGAGTGTGGGCTCATGGGTTGTGGGGGAGAGGCTTATGGGATGTTTGAGAGATATAAGGGCATTAGTAGGGGACAAGTCTCTGGTTTATTGTGGGTTTCTTCTTCAGGTCATGACTCAGTGCATCATAGGAGATAGTTTTGGGTGTTTTAGAGGGTTTTAGGCATTTTATAGAGTGGCCCTTCGGTGCATTTTGGAGATCTTACTGGGTACTGGGGAGTCTCAAGGGAGTTTGAGGCTCCTTGGAAGTTCTCACACTGCTATATATTATTAAGAGTGTCGTGAGGAACTATTTAAAGGTCTCAGAGGAACACTTGGGTATTAGGAAGGGTTTTCTATGATAGAGTGGGGTCTCAGGGGTGAGTGGGAGGGTCATGGGGGTCTTACCATTAAAATTATAATGTATCTGACTATTCATACTGTGGTAGTAAGAGCCACACCCTTGTTTTCCCGGTATGGTCTCAGTGTCCACTGGAATATCCCAGCATTCCATCTGGCTAGAGCCCTCTTTCATTCCCCAAAGCATCCGCCGTTTGGCTACGAGAAAATTTTAAATTGCCCTTGTGGTTCCCCTAGCCTTGGGGGTAGAGGGCGGGCCTCATGCCATCCAGCAGGACTTGAACTTTTCCCAGCAAAGAGATTTAGCTGCCAGCTTCTGTCCCAGCTGCCAGGGTGTATCCACCTTCTGCTGGTCCTCAAAAGCCCACTGTGAAGTACCCATAGGGAGTCTTGAGGACACTTGGGCTAATCAATTTTTAAAATAAAGGATAAGGAGGCAAGAGCCATTTTTAGAATAAAAATTGAACAAAAAGACCCCTCCAGTGAGAGGTAAGGTGAGGCCCTTCTCTGAGGAGAAGAGGGAGAATTCCATCCTGGAGTCTGGGCTCCTGTGCAGAACCAGGACTTGGAGGAAGAGACGGGAAGGGATTTCTGTGTCCTTTCAGCGGATCCATCCTCAACAGTTCTGGGCAGAGCCTGGGAGACATGATGGGTCAGCTTGTGAGAGCAGATGGAGTTTTCTCCCCAAGACACATGCACACACAGGCACACACACTTGCACACGTCCAGCCCTCACGGCCCGTGTTCTCTGCATCCCCATTCTGTTCCCGGCTTACCTGGAGTGATGAGAGGTGGGGCTTCCCCTGGATGGTGGCTGGGGAAAGAAAAGTGGTGAGATGTGTTTCCATCCCCCCTGTCCTCTCCCTTAAGGCTAGAGGATTCTCAGCTTGCCCTGACAGAGCTTCCTGGCTATTTTTCCTGGAATGGGACCAAAGCTTTTCAGGCTTTCAGGCCCTCTGAAGATGATCAGCTCTGAAGAATAAACCTGGGACATCTCAGTGGCAGGAATTCTCCAGGGCAAGGCCTGGAGGCCTTTTTCTGCGAGATTCAGTTCTTTGACCAGGGAAAGGGTATCTGTTGGGTATGAAGTAGGCACATGGGGAGCCCGTCTTACCTGGGCTTCTGGCTGAACTTGCATTTGCATTTCCCACCTGTCAGGGGAGAAGGGATGGTTGAGGGAGAGGACCCACAGCCCCGCCCTGCCCTGCCAGCTCGGCCTCCAGGGTCCCCACTCACTCATGAGGACGATGATGCCGATGGTGCACAGAACCGCGGCGCAGACGAGCCCACCGACCCGAAGTCTGTGCCAGTCTAGGAGAAACCCAGAGGAGGCCATTAGTGCCCACCTGTGTCCTCCCTGTCCAAACCTCCATCTATCCGACAGGTGGGTATGGGGAACCTGACTACCGGCAGGGAGTTGTGGATACAGAGGGGAGAGAACAAAGAGCCCCGCAGCACCACCCCCCTCACATTCTCCCTTACACACAAACAACCGATAAGAGATTTAATGGAAGGTCAAGTGGAGATAAGCATTCTGAAGGCAAATAAGCAAAGCCAGGGAACAAAAAGTCAGAGGGCAGCTCTTTTAGGGAGACTGGTCAGGGAAGGCCTCTCTGAGCAGAGCCCTGGGGAGATGAGGCAGGGGGGGGCCTGGCAGGGAGATCGGAAAGTACAAAGGTCCGGGGGTTTGGAGGGTGTCTGCTGTGTGTGTGAGCAACCGCAGAAAGGCCGCCCAATAACTTCCCTCCTCCGGGCAGTTTTTGCAAAGCCAGCCTCCTAGCATTTGATTTGAACCATAACAACGGCTTCTGGTGAACCTTCCCATCTTCCTTTGCGCTGCTCTCCTGCCAGAAGAGAACCTTCCCTGGGACCAGACCCGCGTGGCTCCTTCCTTTATTACACTGTATTGACCTCTCTCTCTCCCCATCCTTACCCCTTCCTATCCTCACCTCTTGTTTCGCCCACATTGGACCCCCACCCAAGCCCTGTGGGTCCACAGACACAAAATGTTAGGAGGGGGAGTGGGTGGGAGGGGGCCAAGAGAGGGGCACAAGCTCTCACCATAGTAGAAAGGACTGTTTTTATCTGCAAAGAAAGAGAAAAAGATCATGAATCCAGGACAACAGCCAGGAGGCAAGGGTGGGGGCTAGAATTTGGGGGTGAGCCTGGTGGTGGATTCGGACTCACCTTCTGGGTCGTTGGCATCCAAGACAGGCAGGCCTGCTGGGAGAAGTGGGAAGGAGAGGGGATGGCCTGCGGACCTCAGCAAAGCTGGGAGGCAGGGCCACAGAGCCTCAGGGGCCCCTGATGGACAGGTCCTCGCCTCCAGAGGGCACAGGGGTCCCGGCCCCAAACCTGGAGGTGTGGGCTTCCTTTCCCCGCCGCCCCATACCTGTGAGCCCCCCAGGTCTACCCACATTTTGCCTCCCAAAATAGGTTTTAGCCTAGGTGGCTTGGGACCCCTCTTTGGCCTGATGTTTCCAGACACCTGGCTAATCCTCCCTCCAGCAGAAACCGAGCAACATTCTCGTCAAGAAGACAGATGGTCCCAGCTCCCAGTCATTCTCGGAGCCTCGTCCATACCCCACCTGTTCTGGCATTTCCTCACCGCTTCCTTGTAGAGCAAATTACTAATGATAAACTTAATACACTTTCTTTAAAAATGCAGCCCTCTCTCCCTACCCTGAACGGAATGCCAGCCTGGCCCAACGTAAGGGATAAAAAAATACAATAAAAGCAAAGGACTAGGATTACATTCTGGCTAGAAGCCGTGGGCTACCTGAGCTCTGGGCCTAAACTCTGATCTTGTGTGTTCAAGGGTGATTAATAAGTTCTAATTATATTTAAAGCACGAACACCTAGAGCTTACTCTGTCCCAGGCCCTGTTCTAACCGCTTTTCAAATATCAACTTGTGTAATCCTCACAGTGGCTACTAAGCGCTTACTAGCAGAGCTGGGGAAACTGAGACACAAAGGATTTCCGTAACGGCTACATCCGTGAAGCTCCCAGCTCCCTCTCATAATAAAGGGCGAAGGAGGTGCTGAAGACCCAGTGCCCAGGGCTGAGTCTTCTCATCAGAGAGACCTCAAGGGGGTGACTAGCTGTGTGAGCCGCTGCCGTAAGGGGGGGCCTATCTTTGTGTGCACCTTGAAACCATCAGTGCGACACTGCGACCCTCAAGGAGATGCTGACCGGGGAGTCGCCGCCCCACAGCGGAGGCAGAAAGCACGAGAGAGGCAGACACACCCACAGATGCACAGACATGGGGCTTGACCAACACTCTGTGGCAGGGTTTGGGAAAGGCAGTGAGGGGCCCAGGCACTCACCTGCCAGGAGGAGGAGCAGGCTCAGTGTTGTCACCTCCCGCATGTCCGCCAGCTGGCCTGGAGGGGGAGGGATGGGGGGAGAGTCCAGCTCTATGGGGGCCCCCCAACCAAGGTGCCAGAGCGGTGCCTCTGGTTTCCAGTCCTCTTGTACTCTGCTCTCCAGGGTACACAACTCGCCCCAGGGCAGAGAGGCTGTTATTAACCAACCGCCCTGTCTGGGAGGTGAGGAGGAGCCATTAAAGGGGATTGAGGGGTGGGGAGGTGCGGGGTGGGGGGTGGCGGCAACGCGAACCTGGAGAGGAGTTGCAGGAATCACTGGCTTGACACAGACCTGGGGCTCTAGGGACATGGCCCTGGTGACCAAATGAGGGAGGCGCTGCCTGCTGTTCACCCCAGCTTACAGTTGGGGAAACTGAGGCTCTGAAAACTAAAAATGGGTGCATAGGGTCACCTTGGCAGGGAGCAGGATTTTGAGCAGCCCAGCTCTGCAGCGGCTGTTTGTGGCTCGGGACTATGGGGGCCTCGGGGTGTTTTGGGAAATGGGATGTAGGGAGCCAGGTGGCAGGAGGCCCGGGTTGCCGGGTGTGTCTCTCAGAGACAGCTCAGAGCCTGCCCGCCCTGGCCAGACTCCATAAATCTCGAGCTGGCTCCTCAGGCTGCTCAGAGCAGGGTGTAGGGAGGAGAGAGCTAGAGGCTTGGGGCAGGGGCGAGGGCCAGAGCAGAGAGGAGTCACATGGCTGCAGCACTAGCCCCATCTTCTGCCCCCATGACTCCTCGTTTCTGTCCTGCCTCTATCCCTGCCTCAGCCCCAGCCCTAGCCCCAGCCCCAGCCCTTACCCCTGCCCCAGCCCCTACCTCTGCCACAGCCCCTGCCCCTGCCCTGGCCTCTGTCCCTGTACCTGTCCCTGATCCTGCCTCTACCCCTGCCCCAGCCCCTGCCCCTGCCTCAACCCCTGCCCCAGCCCCAGCTCCTACCTCTGGCCCTGCCCCAGGCCTTACCCCCTCGCCTACCCCTGCTCCTGCCAAGCTCCTCCTGGCAGCCATTACTTCCTCTTTCTCCAGACGGGCCTGTCCAGCAAAAAGAACCCCTCCGATCCCCTCCTGGTCTGGTCTCAGCCCACCCTCGCCCCATTCCGGGTGCCTGAGCTAAGCCCCCGTCTCTGTGTGTCCCCTAGTCCTCTCCCAGTACCCGCCCCACTGCCACCAGCAGACACTGTCAAAGTGTTGCTAGCGAAAGTCAGCACGTCCTCTGCCCCACCCTGTGCTGGGTCCCCACCATTGACCTTGCTGTGTCTTCGCCCATTCCCCTCCCCCCACCGGGTAACCCCGGAGATGATCTGTTCCAGCCCTCATTTCACCAATGGCACGGGCCCTCACTAAGCCATCTGACACTCCCTGCTCTGTCCCCAGACTCCTCTCCACCACTGAAGACAGTGACCCCATCTGTCTCTGCACCCTCCGTGTCACCCCCACCTCACGTTCCCTTCTGTTTCTTGCACATTCTCACAGGCTCCTCCCTCTCCCTGGGCACACTCAGGTCCTGGGCATCCTCTCAGCCCTGAATCCCATATGGTGGACTCAAAGGCATCCATTTCTTGCAGGCAGGGGGCCTATAGCTTTGGGGAGCATTGCTAAGGCATTCAGGACCCCGCAGATTTGGGGAGGAGAGCTGGAGCAGGTGTGTAGGCAGGACAGCCTGGTGGTTCCAGGCACAGGTCTGGAGAAGGACCAGCTGTTGTCTAAAGCCCCAAGATGATACCCCAGTAATAGGAGCTACTGCCCTGTGAGCGTTTACCGTACACCGGGCCCTGGTCTCAGCGCTTCACGCTTATTCATATAACTCCGCAGCGTGATGGGGTGGCACTGTGGTTACCCCACGGTGCTGTCGGAGCCCCATAACCCCCGCTAACGCAGCTGAATGCTGCAGCTGTCACCAGGGACCCAGAGCCCCAGCTCTGAAGTCTCTTTCCATGGAGTTCACCTAGTCCCCCTGGCTGCCGGGCTCTGCTACTCCCCATCCCCAGGGCATCTCTCCCAGCATCCCTGGCCTAGGGGAGACGTGGGAGTAATCTTGGCTGCACCCCAGCCCTGGGGCCACATTCCCAACCTGGCTCTCCTATAGGGCAGGCCACTGGGAGCTGGTGTCTGGCATCTGCCCTCACCTTCCCCTCCCAGGCTGTTGCTGGAACGGGCTCCTGAGCTGTTTCCGGACTGACTGTAGTTTGGCGTGAAGCCTCGGAGAGGAAGACAGCCGGCAGAGGGAGGCTGTGCCCACCCCTCTGGGCTCCTTCCCCGCCCTGCCGGTCCCAACACCCGGGTGATGGACGTTCCCATGGTCCGCCCTCTGCTATCCCCTTTGTTCCTCCGTGATGGTGGCCAGGCCCATCAAGCTTGTGCGGAATGACTCGCCCATATCCCTGAAATTTCCTACCCAGCTCCCCACTTTACAGCTTCCCCAGGAAGCCGCTGTCCCCTTTTCCAAGAGGTCTCCGGGATCCACACATCCTCAATCCCTAGACACCCCAAGTCCACCCAGTCACCCACCCATGCACTCTGATACCCTCAGTCCAGCCTTGATCAACCTAGATACCCCCCACCCACCCAAGCAGCCCACTCCAACCCTATCCACCCAGATACCCCCAATCCAGATGTTTCTGGTCAACTCAGACACCCCCGATCTACCCAGTCACCCCAATCCCACTGGTGGGCTCATCCCAGCTAGCTCACCCAGCCTCCCGAAGGGAGAATGATGGGGGGATGATCACATTAGTTGAAGGTGCTTTCCCTAACCTCCTGTCCCCTGCCCCCCAGAAAAGATCCTTGAAGAGAGGAAGTTCTAGAGAGGGGCAGGGAGAGGTTGGGGGCAGAGCCGAGAGGGTGTTGGAAGCAGGGGACCCCAGCCTCTCACCTGTGTGGCTCCCCAGGCTGCTTGGAAAGTTCCGGGAGAGAAGGGGAGAATGCGGCTGCTAAACCTGAGTCCTGCCTTTATCCACAGCTGCCACGCCCTAGGCAAACCTGGGCAGGTAGAGAACAAGTCAGACTCCCTAAAGCTCAGGGGCTCTCTCACCCCATTCCTGCTCTTAAAGAGACAGCTACCACCCTTTCTTCCCAGCAGGGAGCTCCCCGAGGTCCCCGAGGTCCCCAAGGTCACAACAGCCTCAGGAAGGCAGAAGGAGCATAGGACGGGGCGGAAGTCCGCTCCTCGCATCCGGGGAGGGGGCTTTCTTCAATCTCTTGCCCCTGTGAAAAGGACCTGGAAGGAAGAAATGCGGGGTCTTTAGCAGCAAAGCTTCTGCCTCGAAGAATGGTGGGGAAAAGCAATGCATTGGCATAATTGTCTCATTTCCTTCACTTATATGGCAGGTTACGCTTGGAGGAGGGCTTGGTGGCAATTGTGGGTCATCCAAGGTCCCCTTCCAGACCACTTGCTGCTTTTGACAGTTTGAGGGTCAGCAGAAGAGGCTGATATGACCAAGATCATGAGGTGGGAGTGGGGGTGGGAGTGCACAAGGGGTGGGGGAGGCTGTCGGGCTTTAGACCATGACCTCTCTCCCACATGCCCATGATGCCCTGGAGAGACTGGAGACTGGTTTCTGAGCATCAAGCAGACCTTCCCAGTTCAGGCTCTTCCCAAGGGTGCTGGGAGCCAGATGCCCGGGTCTATGCAGTGGGCGTTAGGGTGGAGGCTGCCTCCCACTCTGGATAAGGCCATTGCACTGTGCAAGGCTCCCTTCACCTCCCTCCCTGCTCCTTCCCCTCCTCCTCATGACATTACTTCTGGCTGGGGTCTGCGTGGGCCCCCACACGGTCCTCGTTGGGGTGCCCCCTCCCCCCAATTCTGCCTTTTCAGACAGAGGGACTTTTGTCTGGGGACTGGATGGAGAACAAGGCGCCTTTGAGTGGCTGGCGGAGGATTGGGGTCATGGGGAGGGGCAGGGCCAGGAAAGGGGTGGCTGTGCCCTGGCCACCAGCTGGACTCCAGGCGACCCCCAACACCATCTCGGGGGTGGGACCAAGGGCTGCAGGAGCCAGGCCAGGGAGAGGGTGGAGTGCAGGATGGGGAAAGGGGGTTTCCGAGGTCAAGACTCTGCTGGGGGTTGTCTGCTGGGGACAGAGAGAAAGGACCCCCCACTTCCTAGCAGAAAGGGATGGGGAAGCAAGGAAGGCACGCCCAATTACATGCTTTCTTTATGTGGCTCCCTCAGGCAATTTTTCAATCCCAGGCCCTAGACTAGGACAAGGTCTCTCCACCCCCCCCCAACCACCACCACCCTCCTCCCATTAGGAAGGGGCCAGTCCCTACAAGGAGTGGAGGGGATGCTCGGGGGTGGGGCTCAGTCAAAGTGGGAGGTTCGGAGAGAGACAGAAACAAGAGTTAAGGGAGGCCTGGAGGGGAGGATCCCAGTCCAGCTAAGGGGGTCTTTGTCTCTGGGAAGAGAGCATGCATCCCTCACCCAGACATTTCCCTATTTACAATGGCCCTGGGAAGACCCCTTTGGTGCTCTTGGGGATGAGTGGTGTCTCCCTCTGCTGGAAACTTCAAGAACTGCAGGCTTCAGAGAGCGAGGGGGCCAGAGCTCCATGGCTAGGCTGTCCTTCACTTGTGCCAGATTCTGCAAACTGAAATGCCAAAGGGGCCAGGCAAGAATTGTGAACGAGTGAAACAGGACAGGCATGAGACCCTAGGGAGGGCTGGCAACTGGGAAAACGGGAAAATTGTCCAGTTTAAAAGGCAGCCCCCAAAACAACTGTAGCTAGCTCATGCAGACAGAGACAGAAGCAGCTCCCAGATGTCTTGCTACGTACTGGGGGGGAGGGGGGGAGCAAGATGTATAGAAGTACATCTTTGAGGTGGAAAAGAATGTGTATGCATACACTTGTTCATGAATGAAGTATCTTTGGATATTCTGCTTCTGGAGAGGAGGAGTGAGAGGCTGGGGGATGGGGTGGAGGGAGACTCCCTCTTGTACCTTTTGAATTACATATTCTGAAAATGTCCTACTTTGAAAAAAAGTGTAATTAAGAGAATTGAAAGGTCATCTC